TGGAAAGTTCAGAGCAGTGATTTACCTATGAAGAACAAGGGAAACATGATCAATGGGTGGGGCTTCAGCAATAACTATGTTTTATTTTAGAAACAGATCAGAAGAAAATATGGTAAAACGGTAATACAGTTGGCCCTCTGTATCCTCAGGTTCCACATTCGTTATTCAACCAACCTCAGATGGAAAAAATATGTTTTAAATTCCAGAAAGTTCCAAAAAGTAAAATAAATTTGCTGCACACTGGTAACTATTTATATAGTATTTACATTGTATGAGGCATTAAAATAATCTGGAGGTGGTTTAAAGCATACAGAAGGATGTGCATAGATTATACGCAAATACTGCTGCATTTTATAAAAAGGGACTTGAGCATCCATGAATTACGGCATCTGTGAGGATCCTAGTAACAATCCTCCAGGATACTGACTGTCCCTATTAAATCAGGTAGTGGTATATGGTGTCCTTTACATCAATTTTTAAATGTTCTATACACATGGAATTTTTTATAATTAAAACAATATTTTAAAAAGAATGTGAAGGTTTACACAGCAAAACTCTTGAAAGCTAAATGGCATCCACTGACATGAAAGAAACATGCAGAACACCAGATGGTTCAATAGCCCTAATCCTAGAAACAATCTCAACACAGTAAGAGTGTGTCTAAGCCTAGCCTACACCCAGCTTATTGGAAATGGGGTTTAAGCATGGGACAAAATTCCAGTGGCAAATGGAGAACTGGAGTAGACTCTTAGAGTTGGTTTTAAAATGATTTAACTTTAGGTGTCATATTTTGATAATCAGCAAGAGACAAACCCAAGCAGGTTATATATTTACAAGTTCTATAAACCACAGCTGGGGGTCTGCAGCCCCCAAACCACAGCCAGTCCCCATAGCTTTGGGGCTGGCCCTCAACAGTTCACTGCTCCTATGTGAGAGCGAGTGCATGCTGAACCACCAGTGGTCCAGGGGCCTCTCCAGGACATGGTTTGCTCTCCCAGAGGCATGATGAGAAGAGAAGGAAGTGATGCTGGAGGAGAGAGAGGAAGGTAAGAGGCCGCAGAGGAGGAAAGGCAGAGCCCAGAACATTCCACTCTTAAGCCTGAACAAATGTACTTTAATAAACATGTATCATATATAAATTTCAGAAATACCATTTCCTTCCTGTAAGTGTAAATGCTCTCCCTCCGAAGTTCCTGCAGAAATGGGATTTGGGGAAGAGTGTGGGGGCACTGTCCATGACACCTCCCTCTACAGGAAGGGAGGCTGAGACCACTGCACAGATGTTCTCACTGCTCTCAACAGCAGCTACACAGGTTTACAGCCTTGACTGAACCCATCTCCACTTTCACTTTCTCTTCTGTAACAGTTATAACGGAGAATCAACAGAGCTCCTACGTTAACTGCTGGGTATGCAGTTATCACAGTATACGGAATGTTTAGGATATGTTTTTTCTTTTCTTTTCTATCTTTCTCCTTAATATCCAGGCACACTAACTCAGACATTCTAAAAGAAATTATAGAGTCACCATGATCATCATCTTGAAAATAAACATGTAATAAAAGTACATATGTTTGCAAAATAATAGATGGACGCAATTCTATATAACCTATGAGCTACTGTCTTATATAGCAGAAAGTATGCAAAGAAGAAGGGTTAAGGTTGATTAGACTTTGCATCTAGATCAGTGGTGCTCAAGCAGGGTGATTCTGCCCCCAGGACATGTGGCAACGTCTGCAGACACTGGCTGTCACAACTATAGCGCTGCTATTGGCGTCTAGCGGGTACAAGTCAGGGATGCTGCGGAATACCCTCCAGTGAAGCAGAAAACTTTCCAAAGCATGAAGTCTTCTCACCCTAAACACTAGTAGTGATGAGTGAGAAACCCTGATCGAGCTGTATCTGTCACACAACTTCTCTTGCAGCCTCACATGGGGCGGGTGCTTCGTGAACTGCTGCAGACATGTATGATTGTGACGATCCTCCCGATAAAGACACACGCTGAGAGCAACTCCTTCCTTTGACTAAATTTTACATGTAAGAGGGATTTATATCCCTTTGTAAACCAAAAGTTCACCCTTTACTATCCTTTGTAAAAAAGAGTATTAAAAGTGATACTGGAAGACGAGCTCTGGGAAAACTACCTCGTGGTTGACTCTTTCTTTTCTCCCCATATCAGCTCTTCTGATTAAGAGCTTCTATGATAAATAAAATTACTTCCTTTAACTATTACAAACTTTCAGTGAGTGAGGACAGGCTAAGAGAACAGTGATAGTTTGTAACAAACTCTCTGAACTGCTCTGTTTTCTTACAACTGGATTAAATGCTTAATAAATATATGTTAAATTAGTGAATAAAAAACAATTGGGTGAAATAGTGAAGCTGCAGCTGAAGGTCAATAATGACTAATCATACACATTTACATTTTGACTACCTTAGTATTAGCTGTTTACATATCTAGATTTCTCAGTAAGTGTTAAACTCTTTGATACATAAACTATGATTTGAGAAAAACATCGAATATCCACTAGGTTGTTTTATTTCTAGACTATTTTGTAAACGTGAGGCATCAACCACTACATGAGAAGGATGTATGAAGACTGAGCATAATAGGATATATAAAGCTTTTTCCATTGGGTAACAAATTTATAACAAAGTTACTACTATGTGTCTTTTAGTATCAAGAACTGTTACTTAGCTACAAAAGACTGGAGCAATACAAGTCAACACTTGACAACATGGTAATTTATATTTGTTTGTACAGAGACAGTCCAGGAAAAAAAAAACTCCCAGTTTTACTCTTAATGCCAATTCTTCAGTAATTACAACCATAATCAGTGTCAGTGCCCATAACATGTATCACACATATGAACACATACAGTGTTTATATACAGGACACACAGACACGTTGTTAAAAACATGTGTTGGGTTTGACTCCCTGATATCTGAGTGTCCATTATTCCTGAGCTCCTCTCTCTTGCTGCCCAGAGTTATAACTCTGTGTCTTATCTTACTACCATCCTCCCATGTCCTGTTCCCTAGGTCTCTGCCCCCAGTCTCCCAAATGGACATGTTCCACATAACAGTTCAATGAGCAAGAGTCTGCCGTAGGATGACACGCCACCAGTTCCGTGAGGACCGCAAGGCTCCCTTTTAAGAGCCTCGGTTTCCTCACAGGTATTAAGACTTTTTACCTACCAGGGCTGTTATGAGGATAGAAAAGATAATGTATGAGAGTTTTAGTTCAGCTCAGATGCTCAGTTGTGTCCGACTCTTTGCGACCCCATGAACTGCAGCATGCCAAGCCTCCCTGTCCATCACCAACTCCCGGAGTCCACCCAAACCCATGTCCATTGTGTCGGTGATGCCATCCAACCATCTCATCCTCTGCCGTCCCCTTCTCCTCCAGCCCTCAATCTTTCCCAGCATCAGGGTCTTTTCAAATGAGTCAGCTCTTCGCATGAGGTGGCCAAAATATTAGAGTTTCAGCTTCAACATCAGTCCTTCCAATGAACACCCAGGACTGATTTCCTTTAGGATGGACTGGTTGGATCTCCTTGCAGTCCAAGGGACTCTCAAGAGTCTTCTCCAACACCACAGTTCAAAAGCATCAATTCTTCTGTGCTCAGCTTTTTTTATAGTTCAACTCTCACATCCATACATGACCACTGGAAAAACCATAGCCTTGACTAGACAGACCTTTGTTGACAAAATAATGTCTCTGCTATTTAGTATGCTGTCTAGGTCAGTCATAACTTTCCTCCAAGGAGGAAATGTATGTAAAGCACTTGGCAAATCTTTGGTGCCTAATATACACGAATTCCCTTGTTATATTGCTGTTCTTATTTCCTCATTCAGATTCTAAAGGACCAGAGACCATATATCTGTGGCTAAACCCATATTTATCCTGACTAATAATCCTGAACAGGAAATACATCTTTCATTCCACACAAGAGCTTGGATAGGAGACTTAAAATGCAAACACAATGGATAGGACTAATACTATAATATTACTCAAGAGGTAAAGAATCAAGGATTTTGTTTTGGACCAGGGAAAAGAAATTAGAAAGGCCTGAGCCTAGAAGTGGGCTATGAAGAGAGGGAGGGAACAAAATGCAAGGCTGACAAAACCAAAGATCAATTTCTTTGATATCACAATTTTACTAAGGGTCTGTCTTGTACAAATGAGAATGTTTATAAAAGATGAAACTGCAATATTTGACTGGTTTATCTGCAAAACTGTTAGCAATCAGTCTATGAAACATGACATCACATTATAAAAATAAAAAACTCAAGCTACCTCAGCAGAAGATATTCTCAATTAAATATAAAGAAAGAAAAAGAACCTGAAGAAGCAGAAAAGGCCCAGCTAAGCCCACCACAGCATGTCATGAAGCAGTATGTTCCAAGGACCATCATGTGTAGACGAATAGCTGCTCAAGCAGAGGCCCCTTTGGACCACTGAGGTGCATTTGCTCATTCAATCTTTAGAAGACTACCAAGCACAGACCCTTAACAAGTCTGCATTTTGCACATTCAGGTACTGAGGTTTAGAAGTGCTGGATGACTCAGTCAAAGGCACACAGCTGGTAGCAGAGTCTAGATCAGAATTCATGATCCAAGGTATTCTACTATATAATCCACACAGTCTTCTGAGTCTTATTTTTTGCTAGATCTCTAAAGAGCTGAAATTGAGTGCTCTCTCAAAGCATTTTTCAAGTCTTAGGAAGTATACAACTAAACAAGTTTTTTAAGATAATCAAGAAATAATAAAAGTTTTGTTAATGTTGAGATAATTTGTACTAAATGGAAATATTGCCAGTTTTAGAATCTGTCACTTCTATTGCTATGAGACACATTTCTACATAAACATTATAAATAATCAGGTGAACACTTTAGCTTATAAGCAGAGGCAAATGGTAGTTATTGAAAGCATTCCTTTCTTTTGCTCTGAGGACACCAAATCTTCCAGAATTCACATGGAAAGACTTCACAAACTCACTTTGACCTGAGGGTAGGACTTCTTGTTCTTTTCACTAGACGCACCGGGGAGTCCTCCGTGGGAGGGGCCTTCACACACATAACGGAAACGAAATCCTCTCTGCAAAGGTGAACGCAAGGTGAACAAGTTTGAGGAATACTTACTAAAAACTTATAGGGACAAAGTTGCACCAAATTTTAAATTCTTGTGTGTATTAGAGGAGACCCAAACTGTGAAAGAGGACTGTATATGAGAACCACTTCTCCCCATAACCTTATCATGACTATTGATGTTAACTGATATTTGCACCCTGAGCTGTGGCTTAAAAGCCAGGTCCCTGGCCCTGAAGAAGCTCTCCTCCTGTGCTATGTGGAGAGTAAACTGCTGCAGACTTTAGGCCTGAGGACTCGACACGTTACAGCTTGCCTGCATCAGTTTCTTCATCTCACATTGCTGCTGCCAAGCTCTGAAACTGGCCACATGACTCAAAGCTTCTCTGACTCTTATTTAAAGGCATTCCTTTACCTACTCTGATGACAGTGGGTTCAGGAGGGAATACAGAAATGTCTTGTTAAATATACCCCACCAGAGTTATAGAACACACCCTATGCAAGGCCCCACATCTGGTCAGTAACTCTCAACAGTTCAGAAGGTAAGAAGTTTCGATTTAAGATTATTAGTACTATCAAGTTCAAGTGGATATATTAACTGACCTGAATGAATCCAAACCCAGAGAGTCCCTTTATATATTAACTCAAGAAATTTTACAGACACAGTAATATCAACTAGGAATTAGCAAGAAGCCTTTACTATGTGGGCTGATAAACACCTGAGTTCCATGTATTTTTTTATCTATGCACGTAAGAAGATTAGACCAAACCATATTCAAGGTCTACTCCAGTTTTAACATTTTATGACTTAAAAAGCTAAAAGCTGTAATTGTGCATATTTGCATACAAAGAATAAAACAAAGACATTTATGAGAATGGCTCTCATCATATTAAGGGAAACTTCAACATTTTTCCTGAAAGACTCAGCTTTATAAAGATATCAAACAATTTGTGGTAGTGTTAGTAGTTTATACAGTCTCTTGACCAGATGGTCTTCCGTTTTTCAAATAACACCCTTTAAAGAAAAGAATATGTTAATACACTTTAAGGAACATTCTCACCTTTCATTTATTTTATTGTGGGACTGACTTCATATAAACAGTGCTAGATCCTTAGGCCCTCAGAAGCTCCGCACGCCACTACTTGTGGGGGAGCAGCTTTCTACTCTGCATGCTGGGTAGTGGAGCTCAGTGAATATACAGGTTTTGACGGCTTTAAGCTAATGGACTAATGTAAATGTCTGCCCTCCTTACACTGTACGTCATTTCACTATGCCTCATAGGGTCTTGAAAAACAGCCTGAGAGGTTTAGGGAAAGCACCTGGAATTGCTTCTAAATTCTGTGAGACTTTTCTAATTGCCAAAGAAGACCAGTCTAAAGCATATTTTATGGGACCAGTGAGACATGACATAAATTCCCAAGGGGAGGAAGCTACTGCATGTCACACCTGGGCCTGGGGTACATGGTCAACTCATTAAAGTGGGGCCTAAGACAACGCTTGAAAAGGGCTCCTTAGGTGACCCCAAACCTCAACACCCGGAAAGCCTTCTGAGGTAAGATGAGTGATTTGCAGGTGACTCTCCTTGTTTTGCTTCTCATAAAATTCGAACTAAAAAATAAATTACAAATTCAGCCGTATACCTTTTATAGTCAAAGGCTGTTAGCTTATTTTCAATAATTAAGTGAAATTTCTAAAAGCATGAAAAGGCAACAGTCAGCCTCCAGAATTGGCTAACCATAAAATAGGGATTTACTTGACTGCTAATCAGTTTAAACACAACTTCAGCTTTTAAACAATATTAGATAATTAGCTCTTAATAATATGCAACAGAACTAGCTGTCCTAAAGATCAGTAGTGGTCTATGCTATGACTCATCTCTGCCAAAGCTGGGGAAAATTGTGGCAGAGGCGCCAAAGAAGAAAGAAAATTTTTCTAGATTTTATTTTTAAAACAATAAAGTAATTAATTATCTTTAATCATAAAGTTACTTTAGGACAGTTGGAGAAACATATACTACTATATCTTATTAGGAGTGGCATTCAGTAAAATATGAGTAAAGAGACCTGTCTTAATACCTTGCTTATCATTTGAAAAACAACATATATCATTCATAGTTGGATAAAAGTATCTAAACTTCTATGCAAAGGAATTTATAACCTGAAGATAGAAATTTATTATTTTTTAAAAGGAAACTAGGATGTCTTCAAATGCATAGTCAGGATGCATTTCAGATTCTAAATTTTTGAGGTTAAAGGTTTGCCAATCCACAGCCATTCATCTCAGTAACTCCACTTGCTTAAAATGAGTCATCAACCTCAAAGGCAAAGCTCCATCCATCCGGTCAGAAAGTCTGACTTCAATACAACCTTCTTACTTTCACTGGAGTCAGACATCACAATATTACAGTTTGGTAAGCAAGCACATTGATTTACTCAGATAAGCTTTAACACATCCAACAACAGTGAATTAAATTTTGAATTTTGGAACTACATAACTCACCCTTCAGGTAAATCATAAATGTCAATTTTTCCTTATGACTATTGACCCATAGTAAGAAACTGCATTTTAAAAACCTTATGGTAGCTCTATGCTTATGAAAATGAATATTTGAAAAACACATTTTGCCTAGTATGCAGACAAATAAATTTTAGTTGATTTCTTGGTTTCATGGATTATCCAGAAATTTCCCAGGAGGCCAGGTAACACTGCACAGGATGTTAGGGGATAAACTTCCACTGCGAGGGTCCTTTGAGAAAACTGGCGGCCTCCTGTGAGAACTCGCCGCTCTGATAGGGAATTGGGAATGGGGATAAAGCAAAGTCATGTCAGCAGCCTGTGGAGTCAGGGTGTGTCACCTGTGAGCCATTAAAACAATGTCCCAAAGTCTCATATGGTATTCCAGTCCCCACACCAAGAACTTTTATCAAAGTTCAACCTTGTAAGTGTAGTCTATTTGGTCATAGATAAGATATTCATATCCTTTATATTCTAACCAAAATCCAAATACATATGTAATACGAGGATTACAATAACCACATGTATACCTTAAGATCTTGACATAGTTAGCATTTGTTAAGTGTTACAAATACAAAAGTGTTACGCTTACTTGCCTGAGCTACTAAAAACATTTAGGGAAAGTACTGGGTGATACAGCTGCAAGAAAGCAGGCACATGCATCCTCAGTCTCACACAGGTGTGATAACATGCATATCTGGTAAGAGATCTACTAACTTTGTCCTCATTCTACAGAGGACTATACCATTACTTCATCCCTTAATAACTACGGGAAGATATTCAAGATTCTCTTCCCTCCTCTTTCATAGCACTGGTCCCATCCAATTTCCAATAAATATTTATTTACCCATGGGGACATGGTAAGGAAGCCATTTCAATTCCCAGGTATCCTCTCTAAATAATCGTAGTAAGAGGAAAGTGAAAGTAAAATCCTTCAGTCGCATCTGACTCTGCGACCGCGCAGACTGTGGCCCACCAGGCTCCTCTGTCCATGGAATTCTCCAGGCAAGAATACTGGCGTAAATTGCCATGCTATCCTCCAGGGGATCTTCCCGACCCAAGGATCAAACCCTAGTTTCCCGCATTGCAGGCACATTCTTTACTGTCTGAGCCGCCAGGGAAGAGCACAGTAAAATAAAATGCTCCTCTCCCGACTCCGAAGAGGCCAGACCTAAAGCTGAGACCCGAGAGAACTCGACCGTCTATTCTAGGACTTTATCGACACCCTACTGGTACTATTAGTAACTTAGGTTACATGTTCCAAATAGAAAAGGCTGTAGCTCCTAAGGATGGAGAAAGGCTCACAAGTACTGATGTGCAGGGACATGGAGGAAGCATCTGACTCAGTGATGTGAACTGCATGTATGTGTATTTCCTTATAAATGAAAATGAGTGGAGATAACCTACACCTCTTCTAGGAGTGACTGGTAAGTCACTTGGGATACCAAGGATCAATACTTAAGTTTTATAGAACTATGTACTGAGGTTCAGGACAGTCTGAACAATGACTAACAGAAAAGGAAAGTCAATGATACAATTGTTACATAATTTGGCAGGTTGTTGATCTTCTAGATAAGCTACTTCCTTTGTAAAATTCATTTACTATTTTATTCAGTGCTTGAGGTATTAATATTAGACTTATGGATCTAACAATTAAAGAGAAAGTCCCACCCCTTTAGTCTTCTTACCTGTTTAGGTTGCTCTAATATTTGAAGGTATGGGCCATCTGCTAAAAATAAAACAACAAACAGAAACCAAAAGAAACTGTGAGGCTTCTCAAATTTGGTAAAAAAAAAAATATATATATATATATATATGTATGTATGTATATATATACAAAGCAAGTAAAAAAAACTGAAATTATGTTTTTAAACAGAGGCTTCAAATAAATGTCTTAGCTAAAATTCCACAAGGCATATCTTCTTCTTCTGAATATTAATTTTACCTTATTTAATAACAGTTTTACACCATTAGAGAGAACCATACTGTAGAGACGTCTGTTGAATGGTGATGGCATCTTGCACAACCCAACAAAAGGCATGATGTCTGGCAAGAATTACGACGTCAACAACCTTCACAGTCATGTCCACTAACAAAGCATTTTTAATAATGACACAAATACCAATTAAAAGCAGCAACCACTTCCTGGTCACTGTGAAATTTTCTTTTGCCATCACAGCATCAGACACTGACTTCCATTCTTCACAAGAAAACGTGCTTAATGTGAAATTACAAGAGACTGAGCTAGCAACCTACATGTGTGAAACACACAGATAACGATCTCAGGCTACCTGCTTTTCATTACACCAAGTTTTGGGTTCCCTGTCAATACCTGAATCCATAGGTACTGCCCTCATTCCCTAACTGGCTAGCTTGTTCCTCCTCTTTCCCATAGTTAATTTGGTCTATCAGACATGGTAGATTCTTCTTATTAACTCATAGCTTTTGATGTCTGTGTACAATTTTTGAACATTGTACTTTCATATAAACTCTGTTCCAAAATAAGTGTTTTATAAAATTCTGAAAATAATTTAGATGGATGTATACCAACTAATAAGAACAAAGATTACTAGAAGCTTAATGATAGCCTGACTATACCTGAGTTCAGAAACTCAAAGGAAAATAAAAATCTCTGACAGTATAAATACAAATTTATTCAATATGAATATTCAATATGAAGCTTACTCCCTAAGCTTCCCAGCTGGTTTTTATGTCATATCAAAGTATAATAACCCATAGCTCTGTGATACATAAAGGCTCATAGTGTTTCTCACTTGTTTGAATGTAAATTTAAATGGTACTAAAAAATTTCTAGGAGGATCCTTCTGTGTCCATTTCAATCTTCACTGTCTCTAGGCCAGAAGATCAAGACTTATTATTTTAGATAAATAAGTTTATGAAGAAGAGCTGAACTTTCAGGTTGAAATTAAAAGTAAACTATGAATGAGAGAGGATTTATGTTTATTTTCAGCACTATGATGAATCAGGATAAGGCAGAGAACTGTAGGAAACTAAGGTATAATTATTTCCTGTTATTATTCAAGAAGTTTACAAGGAAGTCAGTTGAAAAATAACTGAATTTGAACTGAAACATACACAAGAAAAGAAAAAAGGGTAGGGACTGACCAATGCTATATAATTTAGGTAAATTACCTTTTCTTTTCTGTCTGAAATTAGTTCCTGGATATATTCAACTACTTTTTAGAAAAGGAACTGTTAGAATTTTAAAATTCAAAAAAATGACTAGAATTTAATTTCTAAGGAGATAAAACTGATTAGAAACATAAATATTTTCACACTGCTAAATAAGGTCTATACAACATTTCAACAAATCTATTCATAAACATTCTCTCTAGAAAACTAAATGAACATATGAAGAAGTGAAATCTTTAAGAAAGCAACATTTGACAACAAGGTCCTACTATATATAGCACAGGGAACTACATTCAATATCCTGTGATAAACCAAAATGGAAAAGAATATGAAAAATGTATACATATGTATAACCGAATCACTTTGCTGCACAGCAGAAATTAACACAACATTGTTAAATCAACCATACTTCAGCAAAAAAAAAATTAAGCAACATTTGGATATCATGGAAAATACAGAGGAATTGGAGCACATTTATATCAGACTTCAAGTCTCTCACTTCTTAGTAACTCTTTGAAAAATACTTGAAGTTTTGTTATTATTTTTGCTGTATGGTTTAATTTCTTCTAAATACATGAAATATTGAGGCTTGGTAGTTCCATTAGTGAAAAGGGACAATTTTTCTCTTTCAGGGAATACACTAAAACGTTAAATCAACTAGAAAATGAGATTTGCTATGCATATATTTGTTTTAATGCCAATTTTCTTTGGCTGCATTTCCATGCCATGAATTGACATCCTACTGTGCAGAGTAATTTAAATTACAGCATGATATTATAGACCTAGCAGTTGTGCCATATCCCATAGAGTTTTCAACAAGTAGCATGGTATTAGATTTCAAGAAATACAGAAGGTAAAACAGTCCATATGAAAATTACAAGTCAATATTGGTTTATATAACCTCTCCATTCCTTTAAAATGTGAATAAATCATCCATAAATCTTGGTTTATAAAAAAACTGAAGTATGCCATTGCAATGCAGAGGGAACATGTATGTGACAATAAAAAATGATGAGGTAATAACTGGAAAACACAGTTTTGAGTATAATGTAAAAGTTTTTCTAATGGTGCATGCATGCCAAGTCGCTTCAGTCATGTCTGATTCTTTGCAATTCTATGGACAGTAGCCTGCCAGGCTCCTCTATTCATGGGATTAACCAGGCAAGAATACTGGAGTGGGTTGTGATGCCTTCCTCCAGGGGATCTTCCTGACCCAGGGATCGAACCTGCATTGGCAGGCAAGTTCTCTACCAGGAGTGCCACCTGGGAAGCCTTTTTCTAATATTATGGCTAAATAATTCCTATAACATGAAACTCTGACTACAGAATATTTACTGAGCTGGTTCTTTCAATAATCTTATTTCTATCTCCTTATTTCTATTTCTCCTTATTTCTCTTTATTTTCTATCTCTTAATTTATTTCATCAATTAACTTGATGAAATAAAAATATTAGGAAATCCTTTGCATCAGGATACTGTTTGGCATCTATAAGCCATTAAATGGAAAAGTATATGTTTCCTGAGGGCAGTAACTTTTATGTTTTCAATAAAGCATCAGAACCAAGAAAAAGACTTTGACCCCCAGAATAAGAAGATCACAGAAAACGCAGAAGCTACCAAGACATTTAGTAACTCACAGGAAGCTGATCTAGAGCTTATTTTGGACAATACTTGAGGACATCTCAGCTATGATCTATAGAGTAAAGAAAGGACTCAGCAATACACTTAGTGAAGTTAATAAAGCTGAAGGTTTAGCAGGTCTATTTTTACCCCTTGCATGAACTTCTAGAAATAATAGATATAAAAATGCAAAAGAACACCTGATATAAAAAATGAAAAGTAAGCACAAAGTAATAACAGCAATTTTAAATGACAACAATACAAATTGCATGAAGTCTCCCATTGATGATAAGCAAGTCCATAGTAAATAGAATAGCTAATGTACTTCGGTAGTTACAAAACTCTCTTTTATATACAACTTCCAAAATTTAGTCACACAGCTTTTGAACATCTGTTAAGTCCCTCTGGTGATGTGAGGAACACATAAAAAGAGCTATCACAGCAAGCTTACATAAAAAGCAGTAAATAAAAACAGAGACTGATTTTTTAAAAATCATTCATATGAGATTAAATAACTTGTTGATGGGGATACTTAACAGTCATGTTAGAAGGATAGATGATTATCATGAGTTTATCCAATTGGTCAGAACATAAAACAAGAAGTTTTTTAAAAAGTAATTTTTCTACCGAGATGACTTTTATGACTTTTGTGCACTTTATGTTCCCGGTGTGTGGTATACTAGCTGGCACACAGTAGGTACTCAAGTAAGTGTTTTGGGAACAGATCTGAGAGTTGAGACTGCCTCATGTGCCTGGGGCAAAGGAAACGGGAGTTACAAAGACCCTAGAGATAACAAGATTGGGTGAAAGGAGAAAAATCCCACACAGTAAAGAAGTTCCTTTTGAGCTGTGCTAGCAGATATGAGCAACAATTATCAGTCATACAATGGGCTGCTGTTGCTGATGCTAGTTGCTTAATCGTGTCCAACTCTGTGCGACCCCATAGATGGCAGCCCACCAGGCTCCTCCGTCCATGGGATTTTCCAGGCAAGAGGACTGCAGTGGGTTGCCATTGCCTTCTCCGATACAATGGGTAACTCGAATCAAACATGTTTGTGCAAATGTAGTCCAAAAAAGAAAAAAAAAATGTAGTCCAAAAAAGTATACTGAAAACTGACTTTTAAAACATAAATCACCATTTCCTTTCTAGATAACCATTTACTTTCTAGGTAACCCACTGACTTCATATAAGAGTGTATAAAAAAATCAAATTTTAAAAAGAGCAAAAGCAAAATGATAGGCAATAGATGAAGAATTTTCTTACCTGCTGGCAGTGGCATCTCCTGTTGAAATAATTCTGGACTAAACATTGTATGATTCAGAGGATCCAGATGAAACATCTACAAAAAGGAAAATTTAAATATTTCAATCATTACTTTTCCAACACTGTATTAGAAATCTGAAAAACCTAAAACTTAATTACAGTAAGAAAAACTAAAAAACAAAAACAAAGACCTGAAAATATTTTAAATCAGAATTTTAAAAATATGCTCAGGAAACCTAAGTTGTCATGTGTATAGAACTTTACATGGGGTTGGGCTATGGTTGTGTGACAAAGGGATTTCAGAAGAACAACCCAGGCATACAGTCCACGGAGATAAGGACCTAGTGTAGTTTGCTTACTGGTATATCTGCAGGGTCCAGTGTATATTTATCAGAGTAGGTACTTAAATATTTGTTGAATAAATGATTTAAGGCTTATACTCTCTTAGAAATATAAACATGAGAATATAACCCTAGAAATCTGTATTTCTTTTATAACGGTAAATTAACTCCTACTCTAGCATCCAATTGCAAATCCCGAAAGATTCAGACAGTGAGCAGCCCTGGAACAATTTATAGAAAAACTCAAATTATAACTCAGTCCAAAAAGCAGATTAACTGAGCACTGAGCTCCCTCATCTTTTTTTATTTCTCATCTTCATTTACCTGGCATAATGAAAATACCTGGAATTTAGTGGGTTTGATATGCTGAATAATGGCTCCCCCAAATACACCCACATCCCAACCCCTAGAATCTGGAATGCTATCTCCTAATGAATACAGAGATGGAGAGATTAGTCTGAATTATCCAGGCTGGGCCTGATAGAGGGATGCAGGAGATCAAAGTGAACGGTAGGAGATGTAACAATGGAAATAGGAGGCTAAAGTGATGGAAGGGGTGGGTCACAGGACAAAAAAGGCAAGCAGCCTCTAGATATTAAAAAAGATAAGGAAAACTTTCAGAAGGAACACAGCTCTGCCAAACCTTGATTATGGACTTCTGACCTCCAAACTGTAAGAGAATTAATTTGTGTTTTTTAAGCTGCTAAATTTGTGGCAATTTGTTACAGGAGCACCAGGAAAACAATACAGTGGGTAAACAACATATTGTGATTGAATTATAATCTATCTTGAAATGCTACTAAAAATGACTTATCCCAAGAGTAATATTTCCTTCCTACTTAGTTCATTCAGGATTTAAAATTTGTATTTCTGAGTTTTGTATTTATTTCAGTCTAAATAAGTCATCCATGAAATGTCTGTGGACAGCACAGAAATCAAACACACTTGAGTTTTTATAATACACTAGTTAGTAAATGTGCTGGATCGGGCATTAAAAATAAACACCAATGTTTTACTCCTTTTCTTTACTAGTATATTATTGGACATTCTTGGGTACCTAAGAATCTATTAATAGTATGTCTAGTTAAATCAAGACTAAGAAACACAGTATTTAAACAAAGAACGCTTCAGATCCAGTTGTGAGGTATGCAAATTTTCAATTGAGCAACAATAAATGTGTTTCACATCTATGCTCAGGAGTAAAGTTCATTTACACTATTCACTGTTTGCTGAAAGGGAAATAAAGGAATGAAAAAACGTGTTGTTATAAAAATTGGCCCCGTCTTAGAGCAAGAATTTACCAGTCTCAGACCAGAAGAGATGATCTAGCAGAACAAAAAACTTCCCTGCAGTCCTGCAGGAAATGACTGGTTAAAGGGCAAAAACTCTGATCTCAGGAGAGACACAGCCCTACTTCAGACAAGGAGAGCAAAGCAGTGGCATGTGCTGCAGCTTACACGTGCATTAGGCTAGGGGTGGGGAGTAGATCCCAGAACACATTAAAACATCGAGGACCTCACTGAAGACATGCAAACTTCAGGAAATATAAATCATTAATCGTGAGACAAGGGGGAAAAAACTCAAACCTCAAGGACCTCTCTCTTTAAAAATGGAAATATCAGAACATGTCCCCACCTCTGGTGCTGACAAAAATGCCCACAAAGAAAAGCTTTCAAAATTACTATTTTCAGCGGGTTTTACTCTTGTGTGGCATAAAGGACCATCTCTTGCTGATAGGATTTCCTGTGCATAGACAGGAAAGCATGGTTTAAAACCAAGCTGACCAACCCTAATGTTGGTTAGTGTTTGCCTTTGTTAGGGACAGCATACTAAAAGTGAAAGGTAAAGCACAGGTTTTTGATAGTATGAGCAGCCAAATGTTTGTCATGCTCTAATCAAAGAAAATGCTGCTAGATTTATCCTGTATCATTTGTACAATAAAATTTAAAAGAAGCATCTTAATATGAAAAGTAATGCATACTCATTCTTTCTAAATCAATGAGAACATTATGAAGAGTAATGAATGTTACATAAGTATTTTATTTAAAGAAGTAATACTAGATCCCTCAAAAAACATTTCATTTTTGGTTTCCTGACCAATTCTTCACATGCATAAATTTGAGAAATACATTTTTTTAGGTGGCTAAAGTGTGAAATGATTATGAAATTTGGACCAGGATATCCTGGTACCTACTGCTCCCTCTCTTTGTCCAGCCTTTGTCTAGCAAACTTGTTTGTCTCGGTCTAGCAAACTACACCTTTCAAATCTCAGCTTACACAGACTGCCTTTGGAATGGCTCCATAACCATGCCCTTCTTCCCTCTCGACATTTGTGTCCCACTGCATGCAGACTACTACTACAGTCCTCATTACCACAGGGAGACTATTCATGTCTCTGTCCCTCATACTAGAAAAATGGCAGCTTCCTGAAATGTGTCACATTTTTGTATCCTTCCTTAGCCAATGTTCTGGTACACACATATATGTATAAAGCAAAATATTAACAACCAACAAAGATTTGCTGGACTATTCAACATTTCTATTGGCTTGAAATTGAAATTTTTCAAGTATGACATTAGGAGAAAAAAAAGGACACTAGTATCCCTTTATAATTGCTAATATAATTATAATGAACAGTTTCATGTCCCCAAAGCACATTCATTGCTCATTTAGTCTTTTAAACACCCCTGTATGTGAGCATGGGGTGGGGTGAGGGTGGGGGTGCTAAGTGATTTCTCAAGTTTTAAGAGCAGTCAGCACTTACTTAAGATCTTTGAATTCTAAGTCCTTTTCACTATACCAGTCTGCCTCCTCATTAGATGAGTTTTAAATAAATACTTTGGCCTCCCCGCAAGATGATACGTTCAAGTCCTAATTCCTAATACCTGTGAATGTGACCTTACTTAAAAATAGGGTCTTTGCAGATGTGATCAAATTGAGATGAGGTCATTCTGAACAATGGGCCCTCAATCCACTGCCTGGTACTTTTATAAGAGAAAAGAGGGGGGAGATTTGGGTGTGGAGATACAGAGGAGACAAAGAGAAGAAGGAATGTGCTGGAGAGGAGCAGCTACAAGCCAAGGAATGCCAAGGACTTCCAACAGCCACCAGAAGCTAGGGGAGAAACACAGGTTCTCCTTCAGAACTTCCAGAAGGAACCAATCCTGTCGCCATCGTGCTTTCGAATTTCTTGCCTCCAGAACTGAGAGGGAATACATGTATCTGTTGTTTTAAGTCATCCCGTTTGTGGTCATGTGTTACAGCAGCCATAAGAAACAGCTATCATTTGACCAGCTGCATGTGTAACTTTCATGCTCCAATAGTGTGACAGCAGGGATACTGCTGTTTTACACAGCATGTCCTCTTAAGACCTTATGTAAATGGACAAGAAAAACAAAAGAAGTTTTTACCACTTTTAAGAGTTTTCCTGATAGTTACTGTTGTTATAAAAATTATTAGCAAGATTATACTACTACTTACTTGGTCATGCCCTCCCAAATATGGGTCGTCTTCTGCCATTCTGGAGCTGTGCATCAAAAGAATACAAAACCGAACTGTTAAGACTGGAATGAACCATAAAAATTCCACTATGAAGGAGTAAACTGTATTATTCCAGTAAGACCAAATATAACCACCCCCCACCCCCTTCTTAAGACCTTAGGAGGAATTACTATGTAGTTCCTCTTGGGAATCTAAGTCTAACAGTAGAAAGATTGCATCATCAAGGAATTACCAGTTACGTATAACCCACAACCCTTATGTCAACCTCACAACAGTGTCCTGGAGTTTGGCACAGCTAGCCTTCATCCTTTGTACAGAAATCACGCCATTAGATTTCTTAGAGGCCACTTCTTTTTGTTGCCACCCAGACTTCAAAGATTCACTGAACTCTTTGTGTAGGTTGTTTTCCAAGCCTTCGTGAATTCTGTCCTGGCCCTAGAACTTTCCCACCACTTTCTACGTGCCACTTGAGTTGAGAAAGGCAGAGGGAGCCGTCTGGCCATTCAGGGCCGGGTCAGTGCTTTGTCCAGCATGAGGGGAGGACAGCCGCCGTGCGCAGCGCTCTGTCCTCCAGAACCCTCCGCTGTCTCAGGCCACCTCCTCTCACTGTCAGAGCGGTGTAGAAACACTGGCATTAAATGTGCAGTCAAAAGGCATGAACGTAAGAGCCTTTTATTATCAAGGCTAGAGTCTCAGATTTACTCAACCCAGCCAGATGCCAATACATCAAAGGCCCTAGCAATCTTCTATTACCCAAAGGCCCTGACAAAAATGAAGAGCCACATGACCAGATAAAAAAAGTGTTTAAAAATCACACACCATTTTGGATTTCCTTAAGAAGTACTCATTATTTTAAATATGTATAGGTTAACTTTAGTTAACTGTAGTTAAATTTACTTAGATTAAATTTTAGACATATTCCCTGAAAAAATTAGAAGATTTAAAAACACACGGTTGAAAGTATTAACTTGAGGCTAACTTTTTTTTCTTCATGAAGTCTATAGAGCATTCAAGGGCACTTGAGATGGGGGCTGCCCTAAAGCTGTCTGCGGTCCACCAGAAGCTGTCCTCTCCTTTCCCGCAGTAATAGACTTGTAGCTGGAAACAGGCTCAGTCAGAGTACACCCCACATGCCTGTGGAGTTAGGGACGGTCATTTGAAGAAACGCTTGCCAGTGGCATGTCAGAACTATTTACTGTGTGCCATTTCCAGGTCTGGGCTTAAAGCTCTTGACATCCTTCCTCAGTGTTTTTGTTTCTTCTCTTTCCCTCTGGATAGAATCTAGATATGGAAAAGATCTGGCTTCTACCACCTACATAATGATGAATGGCAGCTGAATGACGGTGATGTGAGAAAGGAATCAGCTCCCCCGTTGCTTAACCCAGCGTACCATCGGGTCTCTGTTAAAATGATTCAGCCCTCACTCTAAGGAATACATTCAACGATCCAAAATCCGCCCAAGGGGACCCCAAATTCCCGTGAGATCCCCTCCTACTACAGCCCTGTGACCAGGCAGGGGTTGGGGAGCATTGGAGGGTTCCTTGCGGGTTGCAGAACGCGCCCAACTTCAGCAAGGGGGAAAGAGCAGCTCTGAGTTCTCCACAGCAAGAACTCCTGCAGATTTGCAGGAAAAATATTTGTTGAAAACAAGAAACTGACTAACAAATTACAAACAGCTGTAGTTGATTAAGGCCAGCTAAAAGGGGGAAAATCAACCTGATACAGTGAAGAATTAAGTCATTTGAAAGTCAAGAGTTTTGCCACTGCTGGGTGTGTGACTTTGGATATACAACTAACCTACAGTGTCCTGTGTTTCCTTATCTGCAATATGAAAGATTTTGATGGGGGATGGGCCTTTCAAAGAAATAGAATTCTGCTCAGAATACGTTAGTCAGCTAATAAATGCTTATTCAAAGAACAAATCACCTACATCAGAACTCTATCTGTAAGTGCGGATTTTTAATATGGACTTCCATATATATCCAAATTAAAGATTCATTAGCATGATTTTCAGTTACATAAAGAATACTAGGGACTTTCCTGGTGGTCCAGTGGTTAAGATTTCATGCTCCAGTGTAGGGACCCAAGTTCAATCCCTCGTCAGGGAACTAAATCCCACATACCACAACTAAAAGATCCCTCATGTCACAACTAAAGATGCTGCAACCAAGACCCAGAGCAACCAAATGTGTGAAAGTCACTCAGTCGTGTCTGACTCGTTGCAACCTCATGGACTACACAGTCCATGGAATTCTCCAGGCCAGAATACTGGAGTGGGTAGCCATTCCCTTCTCCAGGGGATCTTCCCAACCCAGGGATCGCACCCAGGTCTCTCGCACTGCAAGCAGATTCTTTACCAGCTGAGCCACAAGAGAAGCCCAGCGCAACCAAGAGTTTTAATAGATAAATATTAAAAAGAAGTAAATAAATATTAAAAAAAAAAGAAGAATGATAGCAAATAGTCTTACACTGAAACATAGGGCTAACACCAGTTACAACATTCCATGTGAAAAATTCTTATTCTCAGAACACCACAGAAGCCTTAGCTTCCAAGAAAAATATTAAGACCAATTATTTATTTATTTTGCCTTTAATGTGGGCTCATCACCTGAATCCTCTAATCTTAGCCCACAGTCTTCAAAAGCAAAAGGAGGCTGCTGGTTTGTTAAACTGACAAAACCTGTTCAGAATCTCAATTACACTGATTTTACATATATATTTAAGGCCTGGCGTGCTGCGATTCATGGGGTCGCAGAGTCAGAAACGACTGAGCGACTGAACTGAACTGAACATATATATTTAAACCTGTGGATGGCTTCCTGACCTTTGGTTTAATGTAAGGTGGGCCTGACCCTAATTCTAAAAATGCAACTAAATCTACTTGATTAGAACTGATGCAGAGTTATTATCATGATCACCACTGTAGTGAGAATCTCAAAGATCTCTAAATCAAATCACTGGAAAAACACCCAATTACATACAGTCCTCCCTCCAATATCTTCCCTATGATTTATGTACAAACCTGTACCAAAAGATCATAGTTTCAAAAGCCCAAAAGCAGTCCAAAAGATATGGATGATGGTTAAAATCTGAACTTGGCCTTTGTAAGACAGTTCCCTGTGAAGAGCTGAGGTAACAGTACCCTGGGAGTGATGTCACTGTTAATTCATGATTTAAAAATAAAATGTCAGATGAAACCAAGAATTATTTGGAAAGGATGAATCACTGAGTAATATTTGCATTAATTGTAAGAGCAGGTTTTATTTCAAAATTCTGAAATACCAACTAAGCCCTTGGAACTGAAGGATTAGGAAAGACCAGGGAAAGTCCCTACTTCCTTCCTGCTCCCCCAGCCCTCCTCTCACTTTCCCTTTGCACACAGTTCTGTGCTTTTGAGGACGGACCCCAAAACAGAAAGGGAGACACTGAACTGTGAGAAGATGGGCCTAAACTCTGCATCTCTCTCCCTCAACAGCGAGCTTTCAGGAACATTTTCACACCATGGAAAGGGAAATGGAAAATGTAGCCAGTTAGCAATAAATAAAATATCTCCCCCAGTGAACTTTTTTTTCTCACATTGAGAGGCTAATGTTATAACTGGATAAGTTCTGAATATGTGATGAGTTCTGCATGAAAGGCCTAATGGATTATTTTCTGCACATCTCTGACACTTCCACCACCGATATCAGAGGCTAACACAAGGAGGTCTTAGTGAGGGCTGCAAAACCAAGGTTACAGGGTTGCATCATTAAGGGTAGAGTTGGTGGCACTCCCTTCCTTGTAACCAGGGGAAAGGTATATTCACACCCCTTGACCAGAGCCCACTGTAAGAAAATACATTCTATTTGATTTAATTAAAAAATAATGACAATTTTTCACATCCATTAAAATGACTTCACAATCTGCAGTTTGAAAAACAGAAGAATCTTAGATGTCATTCAGAAGATGTGGTTGGGAATCAGAGATAGAAAGTGTCTCCACTTTCAAATTTATTTTCAGTCATAATAGACACCATTGAGGTGTAATTTTAGTACCTCATCTTGGATGAAATAACAAGAAAAAGAGTGGCTTTTCATCATCTCTCTGTTGGATGATTAATTAATAAAAAGAATACACTGGAGCTTCTTTTCATGGAGGGATTTTTTGGAGGAAACATGCTACAAGATATACACACTACATATGTGAAATATCATATATGTACTACATATAATGTGAAATATTCAAATAAAAGTGTCCTTTCATGCCACAAACCTGTATACAGGTCAAGAAGCAACAGTTAGAACCTTACATGAACAACTGCCTGGTTCAAAACTGGGAAAGGAGTATGAGAAGGCTGTATACTGTCAGCCTGTTTATTCAACGTGTATGCAGAGTACAGCATGTGAAATGCCAGGCTGGATGAAGCACAAGCTGGAATTAAGATTGCAGCAAGAAATACCAACAACCTCGGATATACACATAATACCACTCTAATGGCAGAAAGTGAGGAACGAAAGAGCCTCTTAACAAGGGTGAAACAGGACAGTGAAAAAGCTGGCTTCAAACTCAACATTAAGGAAACTAAGATCATGGCATCCTGTCCTATCACTTCATGGCAAATAGAAGGGGAAAAAGTAGAAGCAGTGACAGATTTTCTTTTCCTGGGCTCAAAAATCACTGTGGATGGTGACTGCAGCCATGGAATTAGAAGACGCTTGCTTCTTGGAAGAAAAGCTATGACAAAACTTAGACAGTGTATGAAAAAACAAAGATACCGCTTTGTCAGCAAAGGTCCATATGGTCAAAGTTATGGTTTTTCCAGTAGTCATGTTTGGATGTGAGAGTTGGACCATAAAAAAGGCTGAGCACTGAAGAATTAATTGATGCTTTCTAACTGTGATGCTGGAGAAGACTCTTGAGAGGTCCTTGGACTGCAAAGAGATGAAACCAGTCCATCCTAAAGGAAATCAACCCTGAATATTCATTGGAAGGACTGATGCTGAAGCTCCAATACTTTGGCCAGCTGATACAAAGAGTTGATTCACT